TGAATAAATACTGCTAAACCGAGGTACACCCGCCATATTGACAGTCAATACGGCAGTTGTAGCTTTGATATTGCTATAACTTCGTTCTGATGGAGGTACAAGTTTTTTAAACAGAGGTACTAAATAGTACAAATTTGGTACATTTTTTTGATACCAAATTTCTCAGGATCCGTTAAGGTACACCCGCCATTCTGACTCCTTTACTATTAAGAATGTATAATTTAGATTCTCTTCTTAATTCTTATTTGAATACTATAATAGATTTATTTACATTTGTTTTACTTGTATTGTATTAGATTAAATTATATTGAAATAAATTTATCTTTATCTTTTACCTTGTATATAACGTAGACCTACAAGTGAAGTATAGTTGTCGCTGTAGACACCGCAGTATGCAATTTCAAATTAAATATATAATTTAGAAAGCTGTAAGTTTACTGAAACTTTCAGGATTCTGATAAGTAACACCATATACAGGGTGGCCCATAAGTCCTTAGTAATGAAAAAAATTAATTAAAATAAAACTAATTACATTATGAATAATATTATTATTTGTAAATATAGCTAGAAAAACGGGAATTATTTTTTGTAAATAACGTCGTCCAAATGTAATCCGTTACAGTCACGACACTCTTGCAAACGCCTTCTGAAATTGTCGATGACTGCGCGGCACGTCAGTGCTGAAATGCTTGCCATTTCTCTGCGGATGTTTTCTTTTAGGTCATTAATTGACCGCGGGTTAGAGTCGTACACTTTAGCCTTAAGGTAGCCCCACAAAAAAAAATCCATTGGAGTCAGATCCGGGCTACGTGGTGGCCACGAAATGTCTCCTCTCTTAGAGATAACTTTGTTTGGAAAAAGTTGACGGATAACGGGCATAGCAGTATTGGAGGTGTGGGAAGTTGCTCCATCCTGTTGAAACCATGTTCGGGCATTAAAGCCTGGAAAGTTTTGCAATTTTTGTGTGAAAAACTCCTCGATCATGGCCACATATCGTTCCGAAGTAACAGTAACAGCACGCCCTCTGCCGTCCTCAAAAAAGTAAGGCCCTATGATGCCATGGGCTGACATAGCGGCCCAAACTGTAACTTTTGGGCTATGTAAGGGCTTCTGGTGCTTAAGTTTTGGATTAATCGGACTCCAATAGCGGCAATTTTGTTTACTAACGTGTCCGTTAATGTGGAAGTGTGCCTCATCAGAGAACATTATGTTATTGAACGAAGTAAACCGATTAAACATTTCATTAGCATAATTCACTCTCTGAATAGCATCAGTTTCTTTTAATTCTTGCACCAACTGAATTTTGTAAGGGTGCATAAGTAAATCTTTTTTCAAAATCCGTTGTAACGATGTCCTGGATACGTTTAATGCACTGGAACGCTTACGAGTTGACTGTGTTGGATTTTCACGAATAGATTGTGCCACTGTGTCGATGTTTTGTTCCGTACGTGATGTTCTTGGGCGACCCAACCGCGGTTTATCTAACGTCGAACCGGTCTCCTCGAACTTAGCAACCCAATTCTTAATCGTTTGGAGAGCTGGGGTGTCATCAAAGTTGTGTAAACCTTTGTGTTCTCGAAATTTTCGCCTCGCAACGGTTGCCGAATTGTTGTTTTGATAAAACTCGCGCACACAAAACGCACGGTCCGCTCCGGTGAAACGCTCCATCGCGACTAAATTCCCAGAAACCGAAGTTACTGCCCCCGCTTCCCCTGCACCGCTCACGCGCGCCGTTTTCGTTTAATTCAAATTTTACTTTTCTAAGGACTTATGGGCCACCCTGTATTATGTTTATAATGGATTTATTGTTTTTCAAAGTTTATGTTCTCCCTATTCACATACTTTTGCATTCCCTGGAACTATTGTGAAAGGCAGTGAGACCAGTCTCCCGTAGGGACCTCTTCAATGGCTTTGCGGAAGACATTCACCGCCGCTTCCGGTTTTGTAAATTGTAAACTTACACTACTAAGTTTATCTTTGATTTTTGGAAATAAAAACAAGTCGCATGCTGTAAGGTCTGGGCTGTATGGTGGATAAGTGTCAGCTTCACATTTGCGACCTTCAAATACGCATTCGTTAACTTAGCGGAATGTGTAAAGGTGTTGTCCTGGTAAAGGACGATATTGCTTCTAGTCTCTGGGCAAGCAAGTATTTACATACCAAACTGCACTCACTGTTCTTTGGTCTTCAAACAATACAGTAGTGTAATGTCCTGATTAGCCGATGAAAGAAGTAACCATTTTCTTACCAGTGCTCCGATTTTTCTTAACTCTCGTCGGTGAACCTTCAAATGAAAAGACTCATTCTGCGGACTGGCTTTTTCCTTCCGGTTCAAAGCAGTACACCCAGATTTCGTCACCTGCCACGATATTATATACAGACAGCCAATGATTGTCCTCCATTAAACTTTTTTATTATTTTACGGCACCACTCTACACACAGTCGTTGCTAGTATTCCGTTAAATCGTGCGGTATCCATCGAGTGCAAAGTTTCCGAACCTTCAGATGCACATGCAACATGTTTTGCGCCTGGCTCATTCCAATGCCTAATGCAGTACGAATTTGCTGACAAGTAATTTTTCAGTTTCAATCAGTAGTTGTCGTACGGTGTCAATATTCAATTCGATAACCGCTGTCGCCGGCCGATCTTCACGTACAGTCAAGAGCATGTCAAGCTTGACACTTTGTATGTACTTTGGACCGTTCTTATCATACGCGGCATTGAGTTGAATTTAAGTCTTAAGTGTCAAGCTTTTTGTGCCCTGTACATCGTCATGGAGATGATCACGTCCACATCTAAATACACTGAACGACGAATAGACAGAGCTACTATGTGGGGCTTCATCACCAAATGACTCGCAAAGAGTTCCTTTTTCAAATGCCGTATTTGTTTTTGTTAGTTTTTTTTATAAATGGCCAGTTCCACGTTCCAGGAACTTTCAGTATGCTCAATAAAAATAAAATAAAATAAAAATAATTTATTTCAGACAATGTAGTCCATACAAGTTAGTAACATGACACCTTTAACTATATTAGTATTAGGATTAGTACTTAGTCACATAAATAATACCTAATATTAATAATTTACAAATATAACAAACAGAATGAACCCAGTCACCCAGATGGATCACTGACTCACACGTAGAACATGCAACTCAGTGAACCTCCGCGATACAGCTGCATCCATCCTGTCTGCTATCATCTTCAGGATCTCGTTGGTGCTACCCCTCACCCTTCGTACTAACGAAGTGGAAATATTGCGCATGATGGCAAAAAATCATCCATACCAGCACCTGCAAACATGCCAAATGCGCTACAGAAACGGGAAAGCTTCAACAAGGCCCTGAATGTATTATTACACTGGACTTGCAAGGCGCCGTACGATCTCAGCGTAAAGTTGGACCATAGAGCACATTTGTAGAAGCTCTGGCAATATGCACTAAAGAGTGTGAGCTTCACTTCAGTCGTACACTTTGTGAATCTATAAGACAAAATATTGCCTCGAACCGACAACGCCCTGCGCTCTCTCTCTCTATATGTCTCCCTTAGTATCTCTCTTAGTGTATCCCTTAGTATCTCTCTTAGTGTCTCCTTTAGGTCCTCTGTCACAATATGACCCAAGTACCTAAACTGTGCAACACGTCTCAAAGGTCCCACCCCATTTAAAAGTATTGATGGCACATAGGCTGGTTCTTTAATTTTACCCTTAAACAGCAAGAACTCACTCTTTTTCTGGTTGTACTTTAAACCGTGTTGCACAGCATAGATCTCACAATGACCTACAAGTCGTCTTATACCAGTGATTGAAGGGCTGAGCAACACCATGACCAATGACCTATGCCTCACGTAATATATACTACAGAAATTCCCGTTAAAATTTGTATACTAAACTGCAATGATACACGCACCGACTATGCAGCAAAAAGTGTAAAAAGCATTTTACTATATATATATAAAATAGAACAGGCAGAGAATGAAATTTAATTGAATATTGTTCATTATAATTATATTTTTATTAATATAATTAACCTAGCAGAGCCTATTTTACCTTCAACCAACAGCACGAAGTCTTGTGTTGTTTCAGCAGCCATTCTTTATACATATATTTGAATGCATGTTTTGATGATGAACTGGTGGTGAAAGATCGGTCCAACATTTAGAAGCGACAAAGCGGAAATTGTCTCTAAACGAATGTAATCTAGGAGTCTGTGACAATTTTAGACTCAGATAGCGTATCGTACGAGTGCTGCCTTCCGTTCCATCTCAAATCTCAAAATAAAGACAAGTTTACTGAGCTCCAGCATTCGGCTATTCGTCATGTTCAGAATATTATAGTTATTAAGATAAGGGGTAATGTGTGACCGATATAATATGCAAATAATAGAACTAGTGGGAAAAATCGTTCCAAGTTATATATTGGCTAAGTGCTATTTTTATCCTGAACACTATTATTTCTTAACTATGCGCTGTAGCTTATATTAATTCTACGAGAGGTGCATTTTTTCGATAAATGTGAATATTAGGCAGTCAAACACGGAATTTAGGGGTGTTTATTACTCTCGAAGTAATAAAATAAAATAATTATCATATTATAATCATCATTTTTAATTAATCATAATTCACAATAAATAAATAAATTAATCATTCACATGATGAAAGAAAGCTACTGACGGGGTATTATTTGCTGATCAAGGAAGGAGATCAACTACCTATTAAAAGTAACCTACCAAGTTTTTCCCTTGAATACCTCCCAGTAGTTCCCCCCAGGCAGCTGTTGTTTTTATGACCTTGGGTTGACAACACACTCTTCAAGCAAATCTCAAATTTTTGTCATTGAATAACTCGGAAACTATTACACTTAAAACAAAAAGGCTTTCAGTACAGTTAAGCACACAATGAAAACCCTTTACAGTTTTCGTCCTCGTCGGTCATTCTGTTCCACCCTGTATATACATAATATATTCTTCTCGTTGTTAAACTGAATTTGTGACATTTTCCAGAAATTTCTGAAACCCAATGAGACTCTGCAACTGACTGCCACTGTTGATCCTTCACTGATTGGAGGCATGGTTGTATCAATTGCAGACAAATATGTGGACATGAGTGTAGCCAGCAAAGTCAAGAAGTATACTGAACTGATTAGTGCTGCTATCTAACTTGTAATCAATTAGTTGAGAGTTATTTAGTAAGAAGAATGTTAAATTATGTAATAAATAAATTTCTCTGATAATCTGTTGTTTATTTTTTTATTGTACATTATTTACTTTAAAAATTAAATGTATTGTCCACCATTAATAGGTAGAGATTCATAAATGTTAGTAACACATTTATTGTGGTAAGGCTATGAATAAAATACTATTTATTATAAGCCTTTATTAGAGAATGGTGACACTAAGCAGCAGGTGTATTCCAGCTTTGTCAAGAATAAAAATAAAATGAAACAACTACATCATAAATCAAACGAAAATTTTAATCATGCTCCAGGCATGCCAAACGTAATATTCTTAACTGATAACAAAAATAATACTCTCACAGTAATCATAACACTATGTTATATTTCTTCAGGATCAACAAGAACACTCTAAAGATCATTATTATGATAATGAGATCATTAAACTTTAATTGTAAATACTAATTAATTAATATTATTGGAAACTAAGTTTATCCTTCTGTGGGTGCTGCTTCCCCTTTGAGAAGGGCATTTTCGGCTTCCAGCTCTGCAATCCGGGCTCTGGCTGCCTCCAATTCATCATCAGCTCCGTCTGTACCCAAATGCTTGCGGACATACTCCAAAGCATCTTCAGGTTTATCTGGCTCTTCATAAAGGCTGACAAGCACCTTCGTCAAGGCGTCCATTACACCTGCCCTCTCCAGGTAACGTCTGAACTCTTCTCTTTTTGAGTCAATAGGCTGTAACAAAAACAATGTTACATATGCATGCCATATTCATCTATATTTTTACATTTCACTATTACTTTGCCACGAAAATATAAAAACAACTAAAAGCATTTTTACATAATGCACTCCTCATGGAAGAAAGGCATAAGTGTACTTACGTCAAACATGTTTCTTGCTCCATTAGATACATAAGAATATAATCCACATCCTCTCCAATTGGATAGGATGTAGGTTATATTTTTCTGTATCTAGCAGCAATAAACGTGTCTGACGTAATTTCACTTATGCCATTCTTCAATTGATTCCGTGATTATTCCATGAGGGTGCGAAAGTGTATAACAAATTTTATGTAATTAATTAACACTATAAAATACTTCATCAAAGATGCTACACACCTGTGTATATGTACATTTTGTTCGGTAATTTCTGTAGGGCTAGCACGATAAGGCGCGACTTGCGCGAGAGCGACATATAGCGAGCGAGATGTCTATGCGAGAACAGCAGTATCTCTAGCACTTTTGTCGCTGTCGCGCAAGTCGCGTCCTTTCGTACTAGCCCCACGTAACACGTGGTGTTTTATCTTATATGTCTCAGGTAAAAAATTATCTCTGTTTAATAATAAAAAAATTCCAAATAATATTTTAACACGCTTGAATGACGTGATGAGAAAGTTGATCTTACCTTATACGAAGACATACTAAGTGATCTAATTAAATAATACCTAAAAAATTCTCTCCGATACGCTTTCTGAATAAATAGGTATATGATCTACCTCAACACACTTTCAAAATGATATTAAATCACAACAAACCGCAACCATTTACAGTACATACAATGCCGAACATGAGTTCTTTTTGATGTCAGCATAATGCTTTCATACTGCATAAATCTATTGTCTATTATTTGGCACTTTTAAGCAACAGATTACACCTGACGTGCACTTGATTATATTGAAATTTAAGTGATTGTTTTACTGAGTGATTTCTTTTCTTGGAAACTATGGTAGATTACTGTTATAACATTCTATTACAATAAACCATGAAAGTTGTGTATGTTAAAGAACCTGAATAATTGACTATCGGTTCGGTTGCCATGATTGTGGGTATGTTCGTTTTACATATATTATCTGTATACAAGACCAAAGAGTATTCTAATTTATCCGTAGAAAAAAGTTTATATATTTTTTATTATTATTAATGGCTTTGTACAGCATTTATACAGCCAACGAAAAGGTGGGAAAGCACTAAAGACTAGGGAAAGCAAAATTAAATGGCACGGGATTTGAATGAAAAAGGATTTATGGTAGATTGGGTGAGTCAAGTGTATAGTAATATAGTAATCTGTGGTCTACATCGAGTTTTTTTTTGCAGCTTTTCGCGGTAAGCATTTTAGCCTCTTACAAAGTGTTTAACCATCTAAAACATTATTGTTGTGCTTGATTGCTTGGAAATTCGCGGTAATGACTGTTACACTGTCAGATACTACAATGAAAACGATTCGCCACTTTAACGATCATCGTTAAATTTGTGGCGAATTTTCTTCGTTACAATTCAAACCAATGAATATCTTACCACGAAAGTAGCCACAAAGTAGCAGACAGACAGTGAAAATAAAATTATATTAATAAAAGAAGAAAAACAATACGTATATACTTAACATTTAAATTCAATACAAAATAATCATAGTAACATTCAGCGGGATTCAACTTTCAAATTACAGAAGTTCACAAAAGTTACGGGCCTTGATCACGAAAATGACGGACACATTATATTAAATTATCTATCTAAAAAGTAGTCACGTGTCACAAAGTTACTAGGGATACTTAATGTGGTGTAGGTATTTTAGAAGAGGATTCTTTCGGATATTGTAAGCATTTTTATAAGCCTGTCTATATTTTAAACATTCTCCACAATCCCAAATACAGATGTTTTTTGAGTTTAGGTTTAGCCACATTTAATTTCATATGAAACTCTTTCACTGTGTCACACTTTATCAATTAAATGATCATTACTTCATTAAAATATAAATAGTGATTTTAAAAACAGGAAAAAATGAATAATTTCACTACAATTTTCAACTTCCCATGCTTGTTACTTTCAAAAAAGTTAGCGGAGTACAGATTATTTTAACACTTGTTTAATTTATAATTATCAAAGAAACAATTAGTTATGACTAGCATACATTCTGGAAATGTGCAAGTTGTAAATGTTGAATAAATAGTATTTCACCACTTTTAGGGAAATCAAATTTAATGTTGACTTCTATCATATAAAATGTGTGACTACTTTTTTCGGCTTCTATTAGACCTTATTTTTATGTCATCAATGCTCATGTCTGAACTTCCACTTACTGGGTAATAAAATAACACACTAATATTGTGAGTATATTAAAATATTTTATTGAAGTCACAATATCAATTTGTGAGGTTTAGTGCATTTAAACTAAAGCAGTATCAATTGTAATATTAGTTATTACAACATCTAACGATCGAAACAATTATAGTGGTTTAAATTAAAATGTTAATTGGAACCTTAACTAAAGACAAATACTCTGGAAAATTGTAAAGCTAGTCTAGTACAAAAATTATGACTCGTCGTCACTTCCCGGAGATTGCTTCGGTTTGGGTCCTCCTGCTTTCTTCGCCATGATGATCTGGTCGACCTTGAGAATGGTAGTGGCCGCTCCTACAGCGAATTTAAGTCCCCAGTACTTAAGGACATATAAATCGAGAATACCCTTTTCTTTCGCGTCACATACGCTGCTGTTTTCTGAATCAATGTCGTAACCAGCGTTCTTGTTTCCCTCCTGAAACATTGATTAACCAACTTACATTTACTTGTAAACAAAATAAAAATTAAATAAGTTTGGTTTTTAGTGTATTATGTTCATATTTACAAGTGTTAGTTACCTTGTGAGCTTTATAGATGTTGTTGACTACTTCCGTAGCGTTGGCGCCAGAGTTGTCGGCCAGGGCGCGTGGGATGCTCTCGAGAGCAACTGCGAACTTCCTAACAGCATATTGCTCTAAACCTGGCAGGGTGTCTGCAAACTGCAGGAGACGCTGAGCCAACTCTATCTCTGTAGCTCCAGCACCAGGCACAAATCTGTTTAAAAGAAAAACATTTCAAACCATATGGATTCACTTCTTGAAATTGGTTAGAAGATTTTGTAAACTATGGAACAGTATGTGTCATTTTATATGAGGTTGTAAGTCAGAACTTGTATAATAAAAGTATTTCATAAAAATTTTACAATTAGTAAAATTGAGCTATTTTTAATGTAATTAAATAAAAAGTAGATTAAAATTATTACCTTCCGTCTCTAGTAATGCCCTTGAAAGTATTGACACCATCATCAATAGCTCTTTCAATATCATCCATGTAATTATCAGTGGAACCTCGGATGACTACTGTGGAGATGCGGGATTCTGTAGTCTCCATACGAAAGACTACAACGCGCGTGTCACCCACTTCATCTACAGTTACTACATCGGAGTAACCTTGCTCTCCAGCAGTTGGTGTAGTCAATCTTGGGAGGACCTACAATGTAGTAATTAATGATTATGCATGTAATGTCATTATGTAATTACTCATTTGTCAATACAATTAATATTATAAGAAATTTACAACAAGAGAACACCTCTTAAACACTAGGTCTTGTGCAGTGTGTGAATAGCACAATGTAGTGCTACATAATGCAGACAGTCACTGGAAGTGTTCTTAATTAAGGGGAATATAGGTAATTAATTATTAACTTAATATTTTGAGTAAGAAATTAATTGTTGTTGATAGAAATTTCATATTAAGAGATTTCAGGTATTCCTGTACAGTATATAGCACTAACTGTTACTGTGTACAAGGCCTTAAGAATGATTGTATTGTATTTTTTTGTCATACTTACGGAAAAACATAAAAATAATATCAAGAATAAATTATCTACTGTACATGGCATGTTATAAAAACTAAAAATAATACTAATGTATGTATAATCACTTACAGTAGCATTGACTGTCTTGGCCAAACGACGTAGATCAAACTTAGAATTAAGTCGCACAGCCATCAAACCGTACTTGTTCAAGAAATGCAGAGCCATATCCCCAAACTTAGCTCCAGCCACCACAACCTTGACACCAGCATCAGCTATATCCTTAATTTGCCTTTCGAGAAGGGATTCTTCTCCCCTGCTGAAGTTCAAAAGCTCATCAGCTGATTTGATAAGGACTGTTCCTTTTGTCTCAGTTTGTGTGATGTCCACTGGACAAGAATATACAGCCACTTTAGCTTTAGTGACTGATGTGATGTCACCCTCTACTTCTCGTTTAAATACCATTCCAGAGAGAACTTCAGATTGCAGAAGACCAGCTCCTAGAACCTATAATTAATAACATTTTATACGATATCAAAATTTAATTCAATTTACAAAACTTATATATTAATATTATCACATTTTTTACCTTGCATATTCTGACATTGTCAACATTGAATGTAGTCTTTTGAGGAAGAATGGCTACACATGCTTTTGCTACAAGTCCAGTAATGAATTCTTCATGTCCATACTGCTTTGACATAATAGAGGGCATAATGCCTCTGGTAACTTCTTGTATATTTTTGTAATCCTTAATCTCATAACATGCAAGCTCTGGCAGGATTTCAAGGCATTTGTCGAGGGCTCTCTCATAGCCTTCTGCTATTTCACTAGTGGTAATACCAAGTCGAAGCAGCTCCTCTGCAGCTTCTAGGAGAGTACCAGATATGACTATGACGAAGTTTGTGCCATCTCCTACTTCTGAGTCTTGCATTTGGCTGGCGAGGACCATCAAGTTGGCAGCGGGATGCTCCACATTAAGCTCTCTAATTATTGTACCTGCGTCGCTAGTCACAAACTGTTTGTCTATGTGGTTGATAATCATTTTGTTCATGCCGTTAGGGCCATAGGCGGAACGTACGCTTTGCGCAAATTGTTTACAGGCATTGATGTTTCGGTACACTGCCTCTTCCAGACCAGAGAACATCTGCAATTATTAACAGGAGTAACGGAGTGGTGTAAAGAAGCAAATAAAGATTAAAAAATATTAATGATGAACAAATTTTTTGACGAAATTTCAATGTTTATTAAACATTTTGCAATTGTAAAACATATTTTTCGTTGAAATTTAACCGTTTATGGGGAATAAAAGCCACGAAGCAGCTTAGAACTCATGAAAACTTAATAAATTAATATCATACGGAGGCATGACAACGAGCCGATTACTGTTGGTTATATTTCTCAAAACTTACCCGTGCTCCTTCTTTCATCATTTGGGGGACACCTGGAGCTTTAGGCACGTGTAAAGCCATTTTTCAATCAAAAATTACTTTTTACACTAATTAAAAACAGAAATTAAATCTCAGAGAACCCCTCGTGACTATTGCGGTAAGAACGAATCAAAGAGAATTTAAGCACTACGTTTAGAACGAATGAATTAATGCAACTAAAAGGAATGAACAATTGTAGAAGAACGAATGGGAACAGGCAGCTTTTATGTGTTCGTTTAATCGCCAAAAAATGGATGAATGCATGTATGACAACTAAACTACTAGTATTCCTAGCCTAAAAAATACATATTTTTGACAAATCTTTGTTTTCATACAATTCCATTGTGGCTTTGTTGAGAATTTCCATTTTGAAAGGAATATTTATATTTTTAAGTTAGGTGTTAGTTATTCCTAAGAATGGCTGCCTCCGACTCCCAGAAACCGGAAGCCTCAAAGGACAATGTTTCTACAAACTCTGTTGATGAAGGTTTACCCCGTGAACTTAGTCAGCTGAGTTTGTCTAGCACTTCGAGCCAAGATGAGTTTTTTTGTGATAAAGGACATCCAGAACTGACGCTGAAGAATATATACGGATATTACCAGTCTCAGAAGTTGTGTGACGTGGCTCTTATTGCCGGTAGTTGCAGGTGAGTGCTACGAAGATCTTTGTCTCACGTTCCCATTTCTGCGCCACTAACTGCATACCTGTTTGAGCAAGCGCGCAATACAATTATTGTCGTAACTTATTTGAAAATTAGATATGACATTGCATATCAGCATGATTTAAAATATATGTGTAATTATTTATAAGTTTATGAATTTATTTATTTATTGTACCAGGATACCAGCACATAAAGTGGTATTAGCATCATGCAGTGAGTATTTTGCGGCGATGTTTACCGGCGCATTGAGGGAGTCTCAACTCACAGAAATAGCTATAGAAAGAGTTGATGCACAAGCTCTGCAATCTCTGGTACATTATTGCTACACAGGAACAATAGGTAAGTTCTGTGTAATCCTATTATTATATCTTCCTGTCCTTATCCCACACTAGGTGGGGCGGCTCAACATGTGTTTTTCTTCCACTGTCCCCTATCAGTCATCATTTTTATACTCACACCTTATCCATGTCATCTTTCACACAATCCATCTATCTTTTCTTTGGCCTTCCTTTCCCCTTACATCCCTCCATATTCATACCTAACACTCTTCTTGTCATCCTATTATTATATGCCATACTTAATGTGCCACAGCTAAACATGAGTCATTGAGAAAGAGTCCACCATACGGGCTGATGTGACTCATTCTGCAAAAACTATTATTTTGCATCACCAACATCAGCTTGTGGCCAAAATATTATATAAAACCGTGACACTCAGCCTTAAAGATTTTCATGTATGTTTGAAAAGGAAGTGTTTGTTTTTTAACTTACAAAAATGTATAATAAAAATCTAAGCAAACATGACTCATTGAAATAACTAAAGCAAAAAGGCAGCCAGCTTCAGCTGTATCTAAATAAACATTCAAGAGTCTGAATTTAGATTTACACAAAGAACTTTCAGCAACCCTTTGTCTCTGTTAAATGTTCTAGACACTTCTGATGAATCAAAAGCTTGGCAGGCTTGTTTATGAAACTTTTAGTCTACATGTCTTTATACTGGTTCTAATAATACTGGGAACAAAATCAATACAGTGTTTATTAGAATATTTTGAGCTGTTGGATAGAATTTGAAGCAAGATTTGTTCTCATCATACATAAGAATTAAAGAAGGCAGTCTGTTTGTAAAAAAATCCTTGATCTAGTGTGAGTTTAAGTTTAAAACTTTATTTATCTCATTACAAAAAAACTTGTCTGTAATGTTTTGCTTTTTTAAATTATTCTCAAATGTAAGGTTAAAGGTTAGGCTTGTCTGTAATTTTTACTTTTTTAAATTATTCTTAAATATTTTATACATTGATTTAACTATGGTTTGTTTGTTGTCTCAACTCTATTTATAATGTTTTAATAAATTTTATTATTTGCCTGACATAGTTATTATTTTATCTATAAGCTTTTTTTATAAGTACAACAGTTTTTTATAAATTGATTTGTTATCTTTGGATCTTCTCTAACAGAAGCATACATATGACTACATGTAAAGGATGGTATGGGGATAACACAGGTTACTTTTGATTTCCAGAGCTAAGAGAAGAAACTGTTGAAGTTCTGCTGTCCACTGCCAGCCTGCTCCAATTGACCACAGTAACAAATGCCTGCTGTGCCTATCTAAAGAAACAGTTGGATCCATGCAATTGCCTGGGCATAGCCTTATTTGCAGAGCAGCAGTCCTGCATGGCCCTGCATAAAAGTGCATTAGAGTACACTTACCAGCATTTTATGCAGGTCAGATTTAGTGTTTCAATTTATGTAACATTTTGATTGCTCACATGTGGTTATTTAAACAATACATTGGCTAATATTGGTTGCTGGATGGAAATTCACAAAGTGAAAGAACAATATTCCCTATTATCCTTGCATATACAACTCAAATGTCTTCAAAGTGTGGTTGAGTAGGCATCTTCCATATACTTGTATTGCAAAAACGAGCGATTCATTCTGTGTACTGTCTAGGCTCTCGGGTTACTCTCAGAGAAAAATTTAAGGAGACTGGTATCTTGACTGTGGCATCACAGTACATTTACTCAAATATTTTATATGCCTGTAAAAATATACATAATTTCAATAAGAAAGAAGATATCCATAATATTAACCTTAGAGCTAAGTCCAAACTCATGGTACCACAATTTCATTTAACCAAGGTAAACAACTCTTTTATGGGGAACTGTATATGTTTTTACAATAAGATTCCAGAGCATATATTAAGTTTATAATTTCCTAAGTTTAAAAACTACATTAAAAATATTTTGATCGAAAAATCATATTACAAAATTGAAGACTATGTGTTATACAGGGTATCCCAAAACTCAACGTCAAGCGGTCACTGGGCGAGAGGCCAGGTTATATCAGTTCTGGTAAAAATTTTAAAAAAATCCATGTCACTTAGTTAAGTGATAATAGGCATTTTTTTGAAAATGTTGAAAATCGATACCCTAGACCACATGTTTACGTACTGTCATCACAAATTTTCAAATTTTGGAGTGATTTTTTTTAACGTCATCATAAATAACCATGCTATTTATTGCAGTCACAAATCAAACAGTAAACGGTATGAGTTTAGTAATAAAAAATAAGTTTCATTTAGTCGTAGCTTAAAAAAAATATGTCAGCTAGCTTTGACACTTCATATTTAAAAAAAAATGAACTACACTACCCTGGGCAAGTTATTTTAAAAGATGGCCCATATAATCAAGATTTCAAAATGGTACAATACTTGCCACTCTTCATTCCATAAAAAATATTATAACTTATTTTTTGCAAAAGGAGCTCGTTTCAAAAAAATCTCATGCCATGATAAATAATACTTTTGTGTGCTCAAAGATTGGCTTTAACATCGTGGAAGTGAGATGGTCATATGTGATAGAGTGAGATGGATAGTGACAACGCATTAAACAAAATAATCTACCCTAACACATGTGAGTGTGTCAACTTAATAATTAATCGATTGTTGTATTATAATAAATTTTAATCAAAATGAAACTAAAGTAACTATTGTAATACTTTAATGTTAAAGTAAATGCTCAAATTGTTTACCTTCAGCACGAATACAGGCTCTGCATCGCCTCACAAAAGATCTTTTTATCAATCGTGCGAATCTTCTCAAACTTATTTCTTCTGCTGCTTCAACAATTTTGTGGCGTAATTGGGCTAGATTTTCTATAGGTTTTGCTATAATTTTTCCTTTATGCAGCCCCAGTAAAAAAAAATCAAGGGGTTTAGGTCTGGAGATCGAGGAGGCCACAAAATTGAACCAAGGCGCCCAATTCACCTTCCGGAATATTCCGTGTTTAAATAATCACGTACTTAACTAAGTGACATGGATTTTTTTTGTCATTTTTACCAGAACTGATATAACCTGGCCTCTCGCCCAGTGACCGCTTGACGTTGAGTTTTGGGACACCCTGTATAAAGATGTATGGAAAGACGCCACGGCTCCACAATCCACACAAATTTGATTCAAAGTGTAGTCCATAACATTTAAGTTTATTTGAAAAGAGCAATCCCTAGAGTTTCTTGCTCGTTCTTCTCAGGGAGGTCAGCGTAATGAACGAGCAGTAGCTTAAATGTGACATTTTCAAGTGTAAATTTATTTTACCTATGGAATAAATAATCTTTGACTTTGACTTTGACTTCTAGATGTGCTCATTCCTTCGTTGACACCATCTTTGCTTCAAGACACGTAGTGGTCAAGAGTTGCTGTTACTTTTAAACTTGTTCATCTTAAAAATTGCATAAAAATAAATGGTTCGTAATGTAGGAAATGAAATTGACCTTATTGTCTAACTGCCTCCGTGGCCGAACGGTTACCATGCCGGACTGCCACGCAGAGGACCCAGGTTCGATTCCCGGGCCGGGAGAAATATTTGTGTGGCCTACATTTATTTATCTCGTGAGTTTGGGTGTAATTTGTGGTTGTCTATATGTGTGTCCATGGCACCCGCGACACAGGGTTTCCCTAGTGCGGGGCTATGTTGAGTGTTTGCGTTATTGTTATTATTATTATTATTGGGGTGGCTTCATTCGGGGCGTATGTAGCCCCTCACCACAGCGACCGTCAGTTGATCTAGTGTGATCATCACTAATTACAGTTCGGAGTCAAGGCCGATTGAAGAACTGAAGGAGTTTCCTGGCTCTGACAGATTTAATGTCCTCTGGTTGTGGCATGCGCCTTCCCAGTATGGAGCTTCGTACGCCTATCAGGGGGTAACATTGGGTGAGAAGATGAGCAAGAGTTTCATCCGCCTCATGGCAGAATCTACACTCTCTATTCTCTCTCTGCCCAATATTTGACATGTGCTTGTTCAAGCCACAATGTTCTGTTAAAACTGTAGTGAGCGTTCTGATGCCATTCCTGTCTAATGACAGAGCTTCTCTACAGTGTTTAGCACTGTAGGCAGCTATCAGGGCTTTTGAATACTCAAGACCCTTACTCTGTAGCCACACTTCCCGGGAGACGTGTGTGCTCTCGTTCAGCAGAGTGAACTTTGCCAGGCTGTATGCTATCCCTATAAAGGGTTCAGGTCCAATAAAGGTTTCCTTAGCACCAGCCTTTGCCAGTTTGTCTGCTGCCTCATTTCCCTCGACTTCAGAGTGACCTGGAACCCAGTGCAGGACCACTTTATTCCTTTTCCCAAGAGCATTCAGTATAGTCACACAGTTCTCTACAATCCTCGATGTTTGGGTGACAGAGGTTAGTGCATGTAGAGCGGCTTGACTATTTGAGTTTATGTAAATATACTTCTTAACGTAGCCTCTCTTCAGGTTCGAATCTGCACAAGCAATTATGGCATCCATTTCGGCCTGAAAGATAGAGGAGTGTAGTCTCGAATTCAACTTATAGCTGAGCCTGGATCTTACGCCGTGTATACCACAGCCTACATTGGGTCCCATCTTAGACCCATCGGTATACCAAAGAATGCTACCGACCTTCCAGGTAAGACTGTTGGTTTTCCAGTCTTCCCTGGTTGGAAATTCTACCTGGTAGAGTTTTTTTGAAATTTTGCTTGGGAAGCATGACATCAGAAGTCGTTCCAGAAAGAAGAAATTGACCTTACTTATATGTATATATGTACACACACATACATGCATACATAAGCTCACGCCCTTGTTGCACAGTAGGGGAAGGCAGAGATCACGGAACGCTACCTTACTCTATCCAGACACAACTTTTGAGTCTCACATATATTTACAAGTCTAAATAAACCATTTTTTTCTACAATATAATCTCAGTGAAATTTTGTACTTTAGAGTTGCAATTTTTTTAAATTGAGTTTAGAAAAATGAGTAATGAATCTAGGTTTTTGAGAATTTGTTATTAACACTTCAGGTAGTGAAACACCAAGAGTTCCTGTCGCTCCAAGCTGACCAGTTGGCTAGTCTGCTGAAATCTGATGATCTCAATGTGGTGACCGAAGAAAACGTGTTTGAGAGCCTCATGACCTGGGTGCAGCATGACAGTGCCAGAGAACAGCACTTGCCTACTTTGTTAAAGTTAATAAAGTTACCATTGCTCTCTTCTGAGGTACGTATGGTTTATTAAATTGAGTTTATTAATGAAGTAGTTACATATATTTATACTATTTTAGTTGCAGTATACAAGTGAAAAAAATGGACTGATGTTTTGTAACAATTTTCATAAGGTTGTAAGTAGGGTTTAATCAGTGCTATCTTTAGACAAGGACCTAGTCGATTTCTGCTACCTATAAGGCCCCTGTACTAATAGATGAAATTGATGACCAATTAAGTAAGCATAATTATGTAAGTCATAAATGAGCTTTTTGCATCTTATTGGATGAAAACAGTAAGAGCGATGCCACACGAGCGCTGCCGGTGCATAGCGTCTTCGCAACGCTATGATTTCAATGCATTGAGTGCCACACGAGCAATGCGGTGTCGCAACGTAACGCCGCTTATTTACGCACCGCAGTACCCCTCCCAGTTTCGTCTTCTGGCCCCTTGTCCGATGCGCATGCGCTTCGTACCCGCGCGTCGTTTCAACGCACCATGTGGCGTGTGTCTGTGCATGTAGTTCTAATTTATATGTAGTAACATCGCACCGTCACCGCTCAGTCGTCGCAACACCTAGCCTGCGCATCCTGTGGCATCGCTCGAACCATGGGTCTTCCGAATCACGTTTTAACCAGTTTCCACATGACTATTGGGTTATTATGGGCTATTTATATGTATGTGTACTTTTCTTTTTCAGTATTTAATTGATAAAGTAGAGGTGGCTTGCGGGAATGTACCTGAATGCCAACCTTTGATAATGGAGGCAGTGAAGTGGCATCTATTGCCTGAGCGACGTTCTCTTTTGTTCTCGCATAGAACTCGACCGAGGACTTCTACCATAGGACGACTGTTGGCTATAGGAGGAATGGATGGCTATAAGGTAAGTTTGTGTGATAGGTGTTTTGAATTAAAAAAAATTAATACATACGACGTGAAACGATTACGTCAATCATCTCACGCGCTAGTAATGAGGATTGGTTTTCGCTTCAAAATGGGGTTCGACTAAAGTGAGCCAATTTTTTTTTTAAATTGCATGAATTCCCGTTTTCTTTGACAGAACTGTAATTTACAATTTATTTTCTATTCCTCAGGGTGCTAGCAACATGGAGATGTACGATCCTCGCACAAATACATGGACGCCATTCATGAGAATGGGCGCTAGACGATTACAATTTGGCGTTGCAGTGATGCAAAATAAACTCATTGTAGTCGGTGGGAGAGATGGACTCAAAACTTTGAATACGGTTAGTTTATTCAAAAGGTTCTTTCTAACTATTTGTAATGCATGAAACTGAATACATAGCATCTTATTTCGTCTTACGTAGATAAAGAGATTGATATGAAAAAAAAGTCATGCTGAAGTAAAAAAAAATTATTCATAATTTATTATCGAAATTGCAATTGAAGGTTTTAGCACAATTTTCTTAAAATAATTGTATTTTCTTAAAAGGATGAATGGTCCAAATGAATGAATGAATGAGTATAAAAATAGAACTTCGTGGGCAGATAAATAGCAGTTATTCAGACCGAAGGTTAAATTTACAATTAGTTTTTGTCGGTATGTAATAATATGAATGAACCACATACTGTGGCGTGTTGTATAGGTGGAATGCTTCGACTTGACGTCGCTGAGCTGGAGCACGTTGGCCCCGATGAACACTCACCGGCACGGGCTGGGCGTGACCGTGCTGGGCGACGGACCCAACGCGCCCATTTACGCCGTCGGTGGACACGACGGATGGATTTATCTCAACTCGGTCGAACGGTACGCCACAACTTGTAACTATTCCTAGTGACCACGATGGCAAGCATTGTAATGTATACCATCGATAGATAAGAAGAAGAATAGTACTTTGGTACTTGGTGTAACGGGCTGGTATCCGCAACTCGACGTCAAGGCGTTATTTTGCGTGTGGTGGGTGCAGGGTCCTACTCGTGCCACCCAAGCTCCTCCAAGAATCTCAACAGCCTCCTCGGTTTGCTGAACACTTCGTTTAAGTCGACTTAAGTTTAATTAATGTTCGAGATAGACTGGCATTGAGCGTTGGGAGTGCTTCTCTCGCCTGTCTACAAACCGTAAGGGTCCAGGTATTATTATGTGAAGATTTTGTATCTTTGTGTATAGTTGTTCAGAACCATTGGTAGGGGAGAGACACTATGGGTTTTGGTCCTACAGCGTCCACACTGATCCTTTTCTGGCTGGTACACCTGCTGCGTCATTTTCACGTGAGCCGCTGTGTCCTTTAATCCACTGTAGAGTTACGTGGTTTTGTATACATACCTTCATGAGTGCTTGATGGCATTCGTAAACGAGCCCTGAGTTTATGTCATAGCTGTTCAGTGCTTGAAGTACTGACATACTGTCGGAGAGTATTCGAATGGTGTGATTCTTTACTCTTCTCGCTATGATTGCTTCTGCCGCCAGCTTGATGCCTATGCATTCAGCCTGGAATACTGTGTTGTGGTCACCAAGCAGTGTTGATATCCTGATATTGAGGTCTTCTGAGAATACCCCAGTACTTGTTCCTGAATTTGTTATAGATCCATCAGTGAACACTCGGACCTCTCTCGGGTTCAGTCCTTCGTTGGGACCTTCAAACAATTGTATGTATTGTTTTGGGATCCTATCCACAGCCGCCTCCAGTAGCGGTTCCTCATTGACAGTCTTATAAAGGATTTCTGTATGTGGAGTCCTCATGTACTTCCAAAGGCCGGCTCTGTTTAGACGCACTGCTGTTGACGCCGCTTCCTGTCTGATGAACAGTGGGAGGGGTCGCAGGTCCAGCATCGCTTCGAGGGCGGCAGTTGGAGTTGTCCTTATGCAGCCGATCGTCGCCATGCAAGCGAGTCTTTGGAATTTGTCCAGCTTGTCGGTTGAGGCCGTCAGTTTGGTTCGTGGCCACCATACTATCGCGCCGTAACTGATCATGGGTCTTATCACCGCTGTGTAGAGCCATAGTGTTATCTTGGGTGAAAGTCCCCATTGTTTACCTACCATTCTACGGCACTGCCAGAAGGTGATAGTAGCTTTTTTAATTTTGTTGTCCAGATGCCTGTTCCAGTTCAACTTGTTGTCCAGTATTACTCCCAAGTACTTGACTTCGGTTGATATCTGTAGTTCTGTACTGAAGAGTTTGGGTAGTAGGTAGTTACCCAGTAGTCTTTTGTTTGTAAACATTACTAGTTCCTTCTTTGTTGGGTTTACCGATAGTTCGTATGCTCTGCACCATCTTTCCACATTCTGGAGAGCAGCTTGTGTAATGTCGCAGAGTGTATTGGCATAATTTCCTGATACCAGAATAGCTATGTCATCACCATATCCTACTGTATAGAAATGTTCTTTGTTTAGTTTAATGATGAGGTCATTTACGACCATGTTCCACAGCAGAGGCAGCAGTACCCCTCCTAGAGGGCACCCCTTCGCTACTATGGCCCATGGGGTCTCATTTGCTGTTGTTTTTATTGTTCTTTGTTTTAGCATGTTGCTAATCCAGCTGTGCTAATCACTTCATCTACTTCGTGTCTTCTCAGTGCTGATTGTATGCTGGAGAAGTTGGTTTTATCGAAGGCTCCTTCAATATGTATAGGCCACTTCTATCTTGCTGCACACTATCTGAGGGCCACTTCTATCTTGCCCACAACGGCATGTAGGGTTGATTCAGTGGATTTGCCTTGGCTGTATGCATGTTGGTTTCCGTGTAATGGTATGTTCTTAAGTGCTCCATCCCTCAGTTCTTCACATAACCTTTCTAATATCTTCAAAAAGAACGATGTGTAGTCGGGTTCTCCTGGTTTCGGTATAAATATGACTTTTACCTCTCGCCAGCTGTGGGGCACAAAGCTGAATGCTAGACAGGCCTAACACATAACAGATAAGAAACATAGATTTATAGTTACAATCCCAAAACAAAGCAGTTGCGGTTGGGGGCCGGTTGGGGGGCCGGTTGGGGGGCCGGTTGGGGGTCCCTTTGGGGGACGTTTGGGGGGCCGTTTGGGGGGCCGTTTGGGGGTCCGTTTGGGGGGGCCGTTTGGGGGGCCGTTTGGGGGGCCGGTTGGGTCAGGGGTGAGTGACCCACAAACACACCACCCACCCACTCAAACCCACTCACCCACCCGCTGACCCACCCCCTAATCCGTTTAAGTTGACTGTAATTGTGGTGTAATTGGTTGGTTGGTTGAATAATGTTGGCAATAGGTTACTGGTTTACTAGTACTATCAATCACTAATCGCTAAACAGTGGTGGTTTCTTATAGAAGTACAATTCAAAAGTGAACGTCCTTTTTGACCTTTTTTAGTTCGTATAAAAAGTTCGTTTAATATGTGGTAGGGATGAAATAAAATGTATGTGGTGTTAGTTGATTGGTTCAAAATAGAATTCCCGATCTACGTAATATGCCCTTAATGAGCGCTTAGTTACTGCTTCGAAAGTCATATCAAATTTTATTACAAAAATTCTGTTGCGTTCGCAACACATGTGATTAGTTGTGCTTGAAGGTTGATATGAGGTTCAAAGTTGAACAGCACCCAAATAATGCTAGTAACAAGTAAAAAAGTTGACTGTTACTACAATATGGTGCGCTATGAAATATTGTGTTTTTCGAAGTTGGGACGCGTGTTCGCGCACGTGGACGATCGTGTCTCCAATGGCGGGCGCGCGCAGCACTTGCGGTGTGGCCGCCTTGCGCGGGCGCCTGTATGCGGTCGGTGGCCGCGACGGCGGTGCTTGCCTGCGCTCCGTCGAGTGCTACGACCCTGCCACCAACCATTGGACAAACTGTGCACCGATGACTCGTCGACGAGGCGGCGTTTCCGTTAGTACTTGCTTTAGGTCTAAACCTCGCAAATTTAACTCAGTCCGCGCGCGCGCAGATCATTTCGTGGAAAGAAACTTCTACAGCAGTAAACATGAATCATACATAAACGTTGCAACATTGTAACAGTGTACTAATGTCCTCATCGCAAGTCTCCAGTGCTTTGATTGCATAACATCTTTGCATTGTTTCGGTATTAAAGAAAGTTTTTATTTATATTATTATTATATGCGCATTTAAGGCAGTTAGTTATCCTTCATGTCTCATTGATTTTTTCCACCCTGTACATGTTAATTGTATTGTAAAATAGCTTGAGGTCCCTAACCGCTACATCTCCCGCACACTAATCGCCAATTCAGATTCCCAGTAAGGCACTTTAATTACTATAAAACCTAACAAGTCTTAAATACTTGCTATGTTTTTAATTGGTTAGAAAGGCTTACTAGGTTTTTGACTGGTCACGAAGCGGACAAGATGTGCCTTACTAGGTTTCAGGGTTTCTATATCTCTGGCAAATTGTAGGATTTTGAAGTGGCTGTCTTTTTTTTATAATATCTAGTTGCGGGACGAACATGTTATCCGCCTGATGGTAAGCTACACGCCTGTCCATAACAGTTGCAGTGCTACTCAGAGCTTTAAATAGCAAAGATCTTAGGGGCACTGCCACTGCGCCCGTCACACTGAGACATAACCTGATAAGTCCCATTTGCTTGTAATTTCACCAGCACCCTTACTCTTCAAAACCGGAACACAGTAATGCTGACATTATTGGTTGGCGGCAGAAATAGGTAAGGTGGCAGTACTACCCTGGACGAACTCTTTCCCAAGAGCACTGCTACTAAACTTGGTCACTGCAATTTGGTCTTACGATATACGGTATACGATATGATATTTGGTATTTTGGTATTACTTTGGGAGTAGTATTCCGTTAAAAATGATTTTCAATAAATGTATATCTTACTAGGTTTTACTCTGGGGCAGCCGAGGTAAAGTGGCAGTACTTCCCTAGATAAACTCTTTTACAAGGACCTCTAATGCTACTAAAATCAGTGTAACGCCTAACTGTATTATATCTGCAGGTCTGTGCAGCAAGCGGATACCTATATGCCTTAGGAGGTCACGAGGCACCAGCGAACACGGTTGGAGGACGGTTGGCGTGTGTTGAGAGGTACGACCCTTTAGCCGACAATTGGGTGCTGCTGGCGCGACTCTCCTACGGTCGCGACGCTATTGGCTCTTGCCTACTTGGGGACCGGATTGTTGCTGTTGGTAAGTACCATGTTAATACAATCACTTTAATACAGTATTCATAATTATAACAAACCAGTGGAGTATTTTCACGAAAAATAATTGTATGTCATGCTGCAAATTTAAGTCTCATTTTATTTGTTAAATCAGTGTTTTAATTACTCAAACAAAGGTCTAATTAATTATTTATTAATTATTGATTAAACATTAATAAATTATTAATACAAAGGTCGAACACAAAGAAAAGTTCCTTTATCTGACTGGACTCGAACCAGCGTCTGTTGCCATGCCGGTGCATGTTTTTAACCAATTGAGCTTATAGACAGAATCAGCAGAATACTATATGTGTTACTGATCTTTTTATTGGGTTTTATAAACGGTTTTTTTCGCCGTCCACGCATCTGTGAGGTACTCAAAAGTTTAGTGGAGTATTTTTACAAAAAAATATATTAAAATCATGATAGTAAAACATAATATTCAATAAATAAATAAATATTGCAATCTTTTAATTCGGAACTTTTCTCTCGTATAGAGTCTAACGAAGCTATAATATTTTTTAGATATGCAGACGGCAGCACATCAAGCTATTATCGACGAATTATTTCGTTGCACAAGAGGCGATATTCGAACAAAAGTGTATATCTTGATCTGCTGTTGACTGTACTAGTGTCTAATTCGCGCTGCGAGCTTCTCATAGCAGCGCAGTGTAACGTTTCGTTGATCGCCCTGATCGAGTCACGTTGTTTATTGATGTTCTCTTAATGATCAGGTGGCTACGACGGTGTGCAATACCTGTGCGTAGTGGAGGTGTACGATTCGGAGTCGAACTGCTGGCGCAAGCTGGCCCCACTAAGTACAGGCCGCGCAGGCGCCGCCGTCGTTGCCGTGCCGCCACCTAGAAACCTCTTTTGATATCGCTGCCATCAGCTGGACACTATACTGCTCGTATAATCTCACAACATTTTTAAAGACTGACTAGTTGCGTTTTGACTCTTGCGATGTTGAATTTTGGGAGCTTTATTTCTTGTCATGGTCTTCTGGCAAATGTACTCTACTCTTAACCTATAATTCTTGACTCCAATAGTCCAGTTGTGGCTATTAAAAATTAGTTGCAACATGGTAAAGGTCAAACTTAACTTACCAGTTTTTAAGAGCATGTGTAGTCTGGTGTACTAAAGGGTATGTACGCTAGCTTTAAAGCGTTATCCGATAAAACCAAAACGATTATTGCGAACTCGAATACCAAGTCAGCTGACTTGGTATTCGAGTTGTTGGTTACACTGTGAATTTTGTTTATGACTAGAATGATCTTTTCGTTATTTTTTTAGATTAACTTAGATTGATGTAATCCGTGTATAATCATATATTAATTGATACGTAAAAATATATCATAACTTTGTATTGTATTACGGTGATTTGTATGACTTACAGGAAAAAGCTCTTTGTATGGAGCATAATATTTAATTATTATAGTTTTTGAGCATAGGTATTTAGTATTAATTTTTATCATTTATTGGGAATATAAATTAGAGTGCATTCAAACGTGTCTTTGTTATTTGAATAGTATTATTAGCATCTATATGGTAAATGTAACCGAACATTATTAAAAATGGATTTGTACGTACAGACTGTGTAGTGAATAAGTATGTATATGATTATTGCAACTATACGTATTTTTAGTACAGTTGGATTCACGATTATTTTGGCGATCAATTATTATGACCATAAACATTTACACGTTACATAAAATCGGTGACGCTGTGTTAAAAAAGTATTATGTACAATAGAAACAGAAGCAAAGTAGAATACATACAATGCAGCGTCACCCACCGGCTACCACCTGTGTGAAGGCGTTACTGACAGTTTATGAGGTCAAATGCGCTTTTATTCTTTTATAAAAAAAAGAGATTGTGAACTTTGAATTCATAACTGAGTCCAGATGAATATCAGTTTCATTAAAGACCTCGATGGCCCAATGGTTGAAACTCTGGACTCTAAATAAGGTGGTACCGGGTTCGATTCACGTTAGGACCAATTCAGGCAATGGACTTTTCCAAATTGATTCTGGATGTCGTTGCTTTGATATATATAACAGGGAATTCCCTAATTTGAGACCGGGAAATTGGTGTGCTTGTCTGGCATTTTGTTATTTATCTAAATCTATCTAAATATACAAAAATATCTAAAGTACACTTTAAATTTATTGTTTTTATCAAATGTCGCTTAGATAATTTTTATGCTCACTGTACATACTGAAGTGAAGCTTTCAGAGTACATTCTAGGATTACTTTTAATGAATCCGAAACCTCTTAACACGACACTCCTATTTGTAAAAAAAATATTCTAAAACAAAAACAAAAACCTAAGAGATGGAATAGAACTGTCAGTGATTGTCCAAGTAATTCTTATATTTTAACCAATCAGGAGGCAGTTTGAGTAGCGTCATATTTGATATTTTACCATGTGTTACATGGTATAAAATAAAATACGAGTCGTAGATATTTAATGACTGGTTTAATAATGTATAGTGCTAACTTATATACCTAAAGGTGCGTGACTCGAACAACGTAATATAATCTAAATATTCTTGATTTGCGTTGTGGCAGAAACGTGTCGATAATGGTTATCTCCTATCGACACGAATATGCTGCCACAGATATTTTATTTAGCAAATATACGACGTCCTTTTTAATGACTTTCATTACAGTTCTGTGTTCAGAACTATAATGAAATTTTTCAGTTCAGTAGCTCGCTACTTTAATTTAATTGGTTAAGAACTGAATAGGGCACCTTTGTGATGTGATTTATGAAATTGTAATTGACAGATTAAATTATAGGAGTAGAAAATAGTTATTTGTTATGCAAGGCTGCATAGTTGTTGTTTGACGCGAGGGTTTGTATTGAAACCTGAGCAAGCGAAGGACACTAAAATAGAATCCTGAGCGTAGCGAGGGTTTCAAGCCACGAGACTCAAAACAACTTGCTGCCGAGGGAAACGCACAACTTTTCACCTCACTATAGTGAGGAAAGTGGTAGATGAAAGAAAAACAGTTCGAACCTAGTACAACAAATCAGTTTTATTCATTCATACATCAAAAATTAGTTATCGTTATCAATTTAATGTTAACAATAATAAGAATAAAATATACCGACAGTCGTGTCATTATGTTTTTTTTTTATTCAAAATAAATAGTTACGTGCACCACAGTCCATCGTTATTTTCGAAATTCAAAAACCTTCTTGCTTTTGCGCGCAGCAAAATGCTTTTGCGCGCAGATTTTTAATGAGATTTTTTTTATTAATAATTTTGGTTTGGATACAAGTCCTTTGAGCCATGTCTTCGTTTAATTATGTTACTGTAAATATGGCCGCCACAAAGAGGATAGGTCATTTGAGGTGGCGTGCTTGGATTGACTCGGGATTCCTTAGAACGGGCCGATGCGGGTATTTTATTTCGAGATTCGTATAATTTCGCGTTTTAATCTTCGACTAAGGCACAATAGCACTATCCTATTCCACTTTAAACTAGATTTCACAAAATAATTGACAGCCAAAATAAAAACGACACTTTTCCCTCCAAAAGGCCCAGAGAGAATCTTTTTTAACGAGAAAGAAAGCCTTTCCGAGCTAGTGAGGTGAAAAAGTTATTTTCTTTTAATGATGAAAATACCATGTTATGGAGTTTCGGGTTCATTATAAATAATCTTTTATTTAGAACTATGTTTACATTAATTATCGAAATCAAATGAGCTATCGGTGGTGGTCGGATATTCGGATGCTTTTACATCTAAAGTTCACGTTTTCCCGTGTATGCTATCAAGACATGGAAGCTTTCTTCTTTTAAATCCCGGATGTTGGATTGGAGTTGCGGTTTTTATATTTTGTAGTTTCAATCCATCTTGTCTGAGCCAACAAGTAGTGTTGCGAAGATTTTTAATTAGCTGGCGCCTCCCGTCGCGGTGCATCGAGGCTTCAGAGCACTGAAATTATACCTTATTTCAATTCAAATAACGTAAAATGTACATTCTTCAATTTCATGTCCTCTGCCTTCCCGTCCGCCGGTTTGAGCTGGCCTTTACTGTGAACAGCTAGAAGTGTCAAATTTAAAGTTAAACGATAGAACGATAGTTTCGGTTATAAATATTAAAACGCAAACAGTTTTTTGTATCAATTTTCAGTTTTTGAATATTATAAAGTTAATTTAAATATTACATAAAAATACAAATAACATTCTAAACATTTATTCTTTTTACATGATATACTTGACTGAATAATTTCGACAATCCCGGTGTCGCGGGATTTTTTCGATATAAAGGCGCATTCCATGTTATCGAGTACCGAATTGTAGGTAAATAATTGTCCGACCACTTACTATCAGTGATAAGAAAATAGGTCGAAATTTCTTAACACGGCCCTAATTTTAATATATATACGTAAGTGGCTGCTTTGGTTGGGCTACTTATTGTACTGGATAAAGTGTGATATAAATTCAAGCATTATATTATAATAATTTATGTGACAAAATTAGCATTTAGCACTAGAAAATAAAGGTCTGCTCATCTTTTAAAAATTTGACAGTGTTATAGTGTTGATCTCATGAATATCGATAAAATAACGCGATGTGTAGAAACCTAGCATTTCTTAGTTTAGACTGTATTTAGAGACTGCTTATATTATTATGTACATATATATAGAAGAAAACAAGAGCTCGCCGGGCATAGGAGGTTAGTTTTTAGCTATTTCTATAATTCGCTGTCGCCGAATATCTTAATTGATGCCAAATTTGGGTTCACTGTAGGAGAGTTTTTTCTTCATCAATACGTGGTGTGTAGTTTTCAGAAGCACTTAGATACACAATGTGAAGAAGAAGAAAAGTAAGAAGAAGTTACGAAATATCACGCGGCCGATAATTATTATATATTTCTGTATTCAAACTACCTATCACCATTTAGATTTAAACGAACAATGAATATATTACATTTTTTATGAGACAATAACAGCTTTGTAACAGCACGTACATACATACACATTCCTTTTTATTATTAACATAGATAATGTAACAAAAAGTACATTGTGAGGAAATTTATCGATGATATTATTAATATCGTTTCTCTTATCAAATTAGTGTACAAATATCCTCTTTTTGATACTTAGAGGATGGAAAAAATTTTAATTTTGATATGGTTATTCAACTTTCTCTACTATGGCATTTTATGCTCTATAAGGGTGTTTATATGAAGTTGATACAAATCTTGCAAACCATTCCATGACCATTTCCTTGTAACTACGATAAAAGAGCAGAATAATTAATTGTACTTTGTTGTTACTTCCCGTATATATATCAATGTTTTAGCTGGTTTCAGATTCAAATAAAATGGTTGTTTCATTTACACATTATTTATGTACATAAACTGAACAATACAAAACGAACTCTGCTAGGATCATTCTAAGGTCTAATTTAATGTACACTAATTATGTAATAATTACAAATATTTCATTTAAGTAACCGGATGGTGAGGTCAAAATAATTCATATATTTTTATAAGGTTGTATGTCTAATAAACTTAATCGTATAAGCTTAGCGAGTTGTTAGTTTCACCTGCGCATGTAATTGATGTATTTGTATATTACTGGTTGTTATATATAAATGTGATAAGATCTCAGTCACGATTAAAATACATTTGTGCTTTTTTTACAATAAATGTCTGAACATCAATTTATTGTAAAATTTTAAACTTCATCCATTTAGTAAATTGCTTTAGGCAGCTGTCAGGAAATTTTAAGCTAGATAATGAATGACAAGGTTCCTTGATAATTTTAGTGTCTATTAAAGCAATGCCTTCAATATATTGCAGCTCACGTGCGAGGCACAGGAAAGTTTAAGATTGCATTAACCTATTTTAATCTAATGTATTGTTAGCTATTATAATTTTTTCGTTCGTCAGTTCATTACTGCAATTAACCCATTTCTTTGACATTTAACAAACTACACTAAAAATATTCTTAAAAAAAAACCCGTTTATAGTCCATTTGATTAGGTACTTAACTAAATGTAAACAATCTTTAGATGTCTATTTAATGAAATATACATTTATAAAATGAGTTCTATTTACCTTCAAATACAAATACTTAGCTTCATATGAAATTGCATGCCCATGTTTATACCTATTGATTTGTAAAGTACATGTTTCAATAAAAAGATGTATCAAGATTGTGGACTGTAGAT